ACTGCATCCAGCCTTGAAGACCGACTCGCGGCACTTGGGCTATCGTTTATCAAGCATTTGAGTTCCGTATCTCGTCCGCGCACACTCCTACGGTCTGGTAACCTCCCGCTTATCTTTTGTAACGCACTCACCTACGTTCACGGCTTCGAAAGCTACCGTCTCGTGTCGACACTACCCTCGCGACAAGCTTCTCCCCGTGCCAAACCTGATCCCGACACTTTTGTACTGGTCTACCTTTCGACTTGACTCCTGAACTGCACGTCTTCTACTTTACTTCACACTCCACGCTCACACTTTACTCGTTTCGCTCACCTGACACTCCCTTCACAACGCAATTCACCATCAAAACAGTTCGCTTTACCGCTTATCTCCTGCCTGAACACTTGCTGACCTACCTTGGATAGCGGGTTTACATCTGCAACACATATACCTGCCTTCACACAGCCAGCCAAACTCCCATACACACTCGTTACCCAGCCTTGACCCGACGACACCACACTCAACACATTTCCTTTCCGTCGGGTCTCAGTCACCTGGAATTGCACTATCTCGAGCGCAGCAGCCTGGGAACGCTCTTTCCACGTGGCGATTATATTTGCTTATTATTCTCAGGTTATTGTACAATGTGCTACGTCGTTAGCGTGCGTGCGCAATTCAACAAAACACAAGCAGTCCCCATCCCATCCCGCATGTCTTTGGGCTGTCGGTGCTGTGTTGCCTTTTCTGGGCCGCTCTGTAATCTATACACGCGCCCGCGACTTATCGGTTTTTGAGCCGGGTGCCGTCCGCCCGACGAGGCTGGCCGACCGTACAAGAACCGAGCCGCCTGGTACGAGTGAAGAGCTCGTGCTTGGACCGAATGGAGCGGGTGTCGTTGTCCAGCTCATGTCGAAGCAGTCGCGTTTGCCGGTTCATTCGTCGCGGTGTGATACTCGGACGGTCGGCTGCCCGAGGAAGTTCCCGTGCCGCCTACGGCTGTGCGATGCGTTGTGAACGTGTTGCTCGCCATGCTGCATTGCGGCGTAGGGTGTGGGCATCGTCATGTCGCGTCTTCGTGTCCCCGAGTAGATTCGGCTGATCCCACTCATGGACTTAGGCGCCCGCGGTGCTAGCTGGTTTGCGGCGAAGGCAGAGCTCGCGACGCGCAGATGTGCTTGTGCCGATGCGCGTAGGGATACGAAGCTCGCTGCTGCCGGCGGCCGGGTCGTCGTCCTCATGTGGTGGGCGTAAGGTAGGCGTGTCTGCACGGTCGCATGCCTCCTGCACGGCGAAGTGCGCAGTCAACGGTAGGACGTTGCGTTGATGCACGGTCGCCGTATCCGGCGGAGCTGATGTCTCGCACGGCCGGAGTGACGGCGAACGGCTCCGCAAAGTGACTTGTGAGAGTCGTGGACCGGCGTGTACAGGCGTTGAACTTGTCGGTGGCGATATGCAGGGTGGGCAAGTCCGCAGACCGTATGACTCGCCAAGGCGTTGGGTACGTCTGTGCCGAACGAACGGGCAGTGGCCGTACTCGGGCGTGGGGTGAGGCGGCGTCGGACCGCAAGGCGGTAGTGATGTGCACGCTGATATGTCCGAGTTGTGCCGGAGGTGGCGGCGGTGTGCCCGTGGCGGCCCTGCTCTGGCGTATGCACCTTGACGAAGCATGCGAACTCGACCCCCGGAACGGGTAAATGTGCAGCGGCGCGTAACGCGCATCGAGCGACTCCGTAGTTGACGCAGTCGAAATCCCAAAGCGGCCTATCTACGGAAAAGAGCGTATCAGCATACTGAACCACGCAGAGATGACTTTATGACGGAAAGCTTCAAGTCGTGGAGAGTACCGCGTACTTGCAGCATTCTCATCGAAGGCGGGGTGGACAGCGAATATAGACTTACGCTATGCGGTAAGTGGTGACACGTCTGCGTTGCTTGTGCACGCACGAGCACGACGGGCAGTCGGGCGAACAGTAGGACATTGACCGTTTTCACAGTCGTCGTGAGCGAATGCCCGAAGGAGCCAAAGAGACCTTCGGTTACAGTGGTCGAGACGACGTTGTGGAACAAAACAATAGTGCCGAACGTGACGTCCGTTGTGTGGCGCGCGAAACCCCTGGCAGAGATGCGTGAGTAAGTGATGTGCCTCTAAACTCGTAGCGAGAGCTGCATACCGCGTATGCTGCCGTGGGGCGGAGAAGCCGGGCTTCGGCAGAGTCAGGCCGTACTACGCGACCTCTGCGGTCGTGGCTTATTCGTCCAAGGCGGCAAGAGTAGTATTCATGGGATCATAGATTTGTGAGACGTTCTGGGAGACGGGGAGCTGAGGCGAGTTGGGTCATAGTGAGTCGCGTCATGACGGTAAGAGGCAGGCGGTAACACGCGCGTAAGGCCGCTTCCCAACCTGGCACGGCGGCCTCGCATAGAAGACATGATAGCTATTCACCCGTAGGCTCCCTTCACGCTCGTTTGTGGTCTGCACGGTCTAGTCGAGATACTTGGGTTAGGTTTCTCAACGTTTGCGCCGAGCTCTATCGGGCACACCAGCGCGCGTGAGAATTTACTGAGGGCCGCCACGCGCGGGGAAGAAAAGTACAAGCGCTCGAGAACAAGATGCAATGATGACATAGAGGCATGGATGCGTGGTGGGAGGGTCATACTACACTTTTGATAGACAGAGAGAAACAGGGAGAGCAAAGCATACGCGCCACACCACCTCGAAACCCGGCCAAGAACCGTCTACTCGCGGGGACCGCCACGGCCGACACCGGCAAACTGGGGGCGGTACTCGCCCGGGGCACCGGCACCCTTGCCGGCGTCGTCCCTGCGGCGGTAGTCGTCGCGGTCGCCGCGGGGTGCGCGGCGCTCGTCGCCGCCGGGGCGGGTGGCGGCGGGGCGTGCGCGCGCGGGCTTGCGGTGGGTCTCGGGGACGACCTCTGCGGGGAGGTGGAGCCACTCGCGGAGGTACTCGACGCCCTCGGGGGTGAGGACGTAGTAGTACCACTGCCACGAGAACTGCGTCTTGACGAAGCCCTTGGACGTCAGGCTCTGCATCGCCTTGATGACCTCCAGGTTCGGCACGTCCAGCTCCTCGTGCTTCGGCGCATTGAAATCCTTCTTCGCGACCAAAACGCCCTCTGAAATATCGTCAGATATAGAGTGATATATACGAAGGATATACACGCACCCTTGAAGAGGTTCTCGTAGATGGTGCGACGGTTCTCCTTGGAAATGATCATGCTGGGCGAGTGGCTTTTATGGGGATCGCTACAAGGATAGTCAGAGCGATTCGGAGATACAAAGAGCAAGAACACGCACTGCAACGATTAACTTCGTCGCACAGAGGATCCGAGGGTCTGTCAACGGCGGCAGGAGGTCAGCATCATCCATCCCATCGCTCTCCAATCCACCCTCTCTCGCCAGTCCAATCCATCCATCCGGCCTCCCAACGGTCCAGCAGCATTTCCCCGACAGAATGAGCACACGTACGGGCTGGTTGCTTGAGGAACGGGCGAGCGGGGCGTGCGGGACAGCGACGAGAGGCGAAATCAGAGTCGGCAATTCGGGACGCGGCGCGCGAGCTGCTGACTAAGCACGACGCGACTCTCGAACCGGGCGCGCGTCAGAGTCGTTTCTCGAACTTGACACCATGTCACGCTTGCCACAGCCATCCTCTTCGCGCACACCCGTCAAATCAACTCCATCGCGAACGCGGACCACTTCTACGTTATCCACGACCTCTAGCAGGCTGAACACTGCGTCTCCTGCGCCTGCGTCGCGTTTCCGGACACCGAGTCCCTCTAAGCCTGCCGCTGAACCCTCGTCGCGTACCACTACTCCCACTTCATCCCGTATCAGACCCGCTGCCGCTCGTGTACCTGCCTCTGTGCGCGCCTCTCCGTCGAAACCCAAACCCAAGCCCGCTGAGACCACTCCACCGCCACCAGCCGAACCACCAACCCGTCTGAGCCTCAAAGAGCAGATCGCACTCAAACGCGCAGAAGCCAAGAAAGCTCAGCAGAAATCCGGGCCTGTTGTCGATGGGCCGTGGGACGGTCTGCAAGATGCTGCGCCTGATACGTTTGGAAAGCCGCCTCCCGAAGATGAACTCGGGCGATGGTCTATTCGAGAGACTATCGAGCGCGCACGCAGCTCAGGTGTGTATACCTCGTGTTTCTCGATCTGTACTTTGATCTGATCTAAACATCTCCTGTAGGTCAGATCAATCTCGCTACGCGCGAACTCAAGTGCTTGCCCTCGGCGCTTTTCGAGATACACCTAGGCATCACGCCAGCGAAGCTCGCCCTTGTGCCTGACGAGCCGCCAATACCCGAGCATGTACGCAAGGGCTCAACGCAGGACACGTCTTGGTATGAGCAACAAGATTTGGCTATCCTCAAAGCTTGGAGCAATGAGATCGTCGAGATACATCCCGAGATCGCGTTGTTCGGTTCATTGAAGGTCATTGATGTGAGTACGCCGGTATAATGAAAATGCACACGCTGATCATGTTTGTAGCTGCATAACAATAAACTTGCGTCTCTACCTGATGCTTTTGCTGATCTACCGAACCTTGCGACGCTCGATCTCTCGCACAACGAGCTTACGACTTTACCGGCGAACTTCTTTGCTCTGCCGTCCATAGTCACGCTGGATCTTTCCCATAACGCCTTGACATCTCTGCCCTTCAACACACCATTTGCTGGATGCAACCCTCCCGCGTATCAACGCAAGGACGACTACTTTGCTCCTGCCGTCGTCCGCGCCGACCGCCCCATGCCTAAACTCGCCGTTCTCACGGCTTCGCACAACCAGATCTCTGCGTCCGCCGTCGATCTGGAGCACATACCTCCCACCCTAACAAAGCTCGATCTATCTGAGAACCCACTCACGAACGACGCCGAACCTACCGCACGCGACTTCCTGGTCGGCCTCGCCCGCCTACCGGCCCTCGAAGAAGTCCGCCTCACGAAAGCCGTCATCACCGAATCTTCATTCCCCGACGACCTTCTCTCCTCCGTCGACTCTCCATTCCCCAAGCTCAAGCTTCTCGACATGGAAGAGTCGTTCCACGTCAAACACACCGACGCCGTCCAACGCGCCCTCGCACCCATATCCGCGCAGCTAATCTTCGCCTCTCCGCCCGTAGGACCGAGCACACCTTTGCTCGGCTCTAGCGAGCCGACGGACGAGCGACCGCCGCTGCATGTGGTTATTGGGAAGAAGGTGCAGCGCGAGGCTTGGGAGATCGAGGCGGATCGGCGCGCGCAGATGCGGAAGATGCGCAGCGCCGGGAACCTGCGCGCGCGGAACGACGAGGATGCTCCACCCGTACCCTCTGCGTCTACGACCGAGGTGCCCGCACCCGTCAAACCTGCGCCTGGTCCTGTGTCGAGGAAGGAGGTCGTGAAGGAGCAGTGGGAGATCGAGGCGGAGCAGGGATTACTCACAGAAGGAGGACGCCGCCGCGCTCGTGCGCTCGCGGCACAGCGGGAGAAGGAAGAGGCTGAGAGGCGAGAGCGAGAGCTCGCGGAGAAGCACGCGCAAGAGCAGGAGCCGCGTCCGTCGTCCGCTAGCTCGCACGAGCGAGAAACCACCCTCAGCCCGTCGTCATCCGCTTCGACGCTGAACCCGAAGTACTGGGACAATTCAAACAAAACGCTCATCCTCCCTCCCTGCGCACCCGTCGCCCGCCACGCCCGCAACTTCTCCCTCGCGATCGACCGCACACGGGACGACGCCGACATCACGCTCCCAAACGCCACACTCCCGCTCGCACTGATCACCGCCCAGCCCTTCGCAGCAACCCTGCGCGTCCTCGAGCTCCGCGGGCGCCGCGCGGACCCCGCATTCCTCCTCCCGACCGAAGACGTCTCCTTCCCGCGTCTCGAAGAGCTCATCCTAGACGGCTGCGCGCTCCCCGACGACGTCCCCGCCTCGCTCGGCCCCGCCCCGCGTGCGCGCACCCCGACCGTGCCCCTTCTCGCAAGGCTCTTCCCCTCCCTCCGCTCGCTCGACCTCTCATACAACACCATCTCATCCGCCGCGCTCTCCTCGTCGACCCTCTCCTCGCTCGTCCTCGCCGACGGCGCCACGGGCCGCGCGGGCCTGCGCGCACTGCGTCTGCGCGGGAACAGACTGGAGAATTTGGGCGGACTGGCGATGCTCGCGCGGAGCGCGTTCGCTGATGGGAGTGAGGATCGGGAGGGCGTGAGGGGGCGGTGGACGTTGGAGGAGCTGGATGTCCGGGATAATGCGCTCGAGGCGCTGCCGGGCGAGTTGGGGCTGTTGCCGCTGGAGGTGTTTTTGGTCGAGGGGAACGTGTAAGTGGACTTCAGTGTTTATGGGTGTGGGCTTGTAGGCTGATGTTGGGTGCAGGTTCCGCGTGCCGAATAGGAGGGTTTGGGAGAGGGATGGGACGAAGGGGCTGCTGGCGTGGTTGCGCGGGAGACTGGGATGAGTCGTTCGGGCTTCGGAAGTTCTGTATGTTGTGAATCTACGATCGCGGAATACTGCGTTCTTTGACCGTACGCTGGATCCGATTATTTGTCGGACTTGAATGACGACGGCGTCTCGTGCGCGTCCGCCAAGATGCTTATGCACATGGTGTGATGCTACTAACCGAACAGTACCGAGTCCGCGGAGACTGCCTGCAAGGTCTCGTTCGAGATGTCAAGTGCCGATCTGTCTGCCTATGCCAGACAGAATGCAGCTCAAGCAACGACTCTTCCTCTGGCTGGTTCTGCTCTAGGGGACTGTGTCTATGTTCGTTTGACGATACGGAGTATGCGCAATGCAGATTCAAGTTTAAGCTCTCAAGTAGCCACTGTTGACTCTCAATTATTAACATGTACACGCATCTCTCCCTGGTGATTCTTAAATGGTTCAAATATGCTTTCGTTCCCGCCCTGGACTTCCTCACGCATCATGTTGAACTTGCAGAAAGCACGCCCAGCTTGACAAGGACGCTCCTGGCGGCCATGTGTCGCGCCTGTGTCTTCGTCTTGCCGCTCCCTTTCCCCGCTACATCTAGCTGAGCCACTGACGAGCGCCAGCCGACCCATTCAGCGATATTACGAGGCAGATCATGTAAATGTCCTCACCTGTACATGTCGCGCTCCATGTAGGCTCGTGCGGCTCGCCGGACATCTCGTCGACGTAGACGATCTCCGGGGCCGAAGTGCGCTGGTCGCGCTGTAGGTAATTGTGCAGCATCGCGCTGTAGCTTGCGACATGCTGATCGTATCCTATAACAGCATGAGTACCATTGACAAGCATCAGAAGTGCAACAAGTGTACGCACCATTCTCGTACACGACTTTGACCGGACTAGGCGGTAGAGCTGTTTGCTGCTTATTTCTGGATACCTGCTGGCGGCTGACACGTCGAAATCCGATCTCATGGTGGAAGAACCACCAGATGGGCCCAGGTGCTTTGACACTTGACTTCGCATACTCGAGTACGTATAAGCTGTGGCAGCTTCAGCATCCCTCGGAATCGGCATGATGAGCATTATTGCGTACACCGCTGGCGCAAGGAGCATGATAACGACGTCTACGACGTCGAACGAGTGCGTGAGCACCGCTGCGATGACCTTCGCGACGCCGATCGAGAGGCTGATGAGAGCGCCGACGAGTCTATATGGGGTAATGCCAAAGGCTGGTTCGACGGTCTCCGCATGGGAACCTCCGTCGTCTGCGTCGGAGTCGAACGTATCCGTACTGAAGTCGGTGTTCGTGGTCACTGGACTGGCGGCCCGCCGCTGGCGAAGATCGTGAGCTGAGCTTGACATGCTGCGGGAGTGATCTTGACTACGATGAGGGGCAGATGGATGTGCCTCTGGAGGAGAGCTGTTAAGTGGTGCCATACCTTTATAGGGAGGATAGCGAGGCGGTGACTTGTGTCTCCCAGGACGAAGACTGCTACATACGCGCGTCCTGCAGAGGTTAGTATGGGTCCTGGTTGCGCCGAACGAGGCTGGAAGGTGTCTGCTCGTCACTCTCTGCAGTCTGCTCGATCCGTAGTGGGACTAGATATGATCTTGCGTGGTTTGATTCCCGGAGCGCTACCAGACTGACTGTAGGATTGCGCGTACTGTGCTGATGTATCTTACTCGCCCAGGACACACGGCGGCGGCGTTGACTCTCATGACTCCGAGAACAGCTACCTGTATGCGGTGCTCATGATGGAGGACGTCAAGAGACAGCAGCCGTCGGGAGAAACTATCGCGATGTGGCGAGCTCTGACCCCTCAAAGCACCGCATTGGGGCTTGGACAATCAGATGGCGCGTGCACGCGTCAAAGATAACTTCTGAGAGACGATGTCGGGCCGGAGAGCCTTCATACCATTGCTGCTCGGTGAACAAGGGAATGCCATGGCCGAACGGAGGTGACGCAGTAGTGAAGCAAGCTAGGGAATGGTACCCTTCATTGAGTTCGTGTATGTGAGCCCAGCGCTTGTTGTTATAAAGCCTCACGTCTGACTGTGAGCTACGGCGTTGCTTTGATGAACGCACAATCTCTAGACATAAAAGTGAACTGCGAATGCAGCGCTGGAGGAATGCTGTGACAGTATGCTAGTTCCTGGGATGAACGCTTGCGCCTCGTTCCCTTGAGTCCGCGCATGGACGGTTCGTCCCCTCAGATTGACGCCTGAAGGGGGAGAATGTAGACAAAGAGATGGAATGCCCACTTTAGGGCTACGTAGACGCATAAACGTATAAGGTTAGAGCGCCGAATGTGCGCAGCGACGCGCGCGTTTGCATGCAGAGAACCCACGACGCGCCACACAGAGTTATCGCCGAGTTTCTGAACTCTTGAAGTCATTCCATCATGCGGACAACCTCGCAACGCCACCCAGGCGCATCTCAAAAACCAAAGGTCAGCTTCCACGGCCTTGAGTGTTTCATACACTGTACAGGCGGCCCGTGTGGGATAGATGGCCGAATGAAGAAGCCTTTGTGATGGAGGCAAGAACCAAGCGGCGCTCGCCGTTTCCGACGCGTCTCCGAGCTGTTCAAAGCGGGATCCCCACACGATCGAATCCTTGCCTTTGCCTTCCATCTGGGTACCACTCGAGCGCTTTATCTTCCTTCGTGCTACGCGCGATTCCTGTCGCTGACAGGTCCGGGATCTGCGATCGGTCATATATATGTGCAACGGCGAGCGAGAGCGCGCGTCCACCACTACTTGAACTGGGCGTGTCCTCATCCGCGCCGGCGACGGAACCATTTCAGGCGCGGCCCAGCGCTGATTGCCACTTGTACGCAACCATCATGACTGCAATGTTTATACTGTTCGCTGATCTCGCTCTGACCCGTAGAGCCATCGAATTACCAGTGGGGGTGCGCTAGTCAGAATACATGCCTTCTCCACGGACCGGATCGTCGGGAAGTGCTCCAGGATCGCCTGGAGGAAAGTCAGCGCCTGTTCCTCCTGCTATCGTTCATCACCACTCTTCTTCCAGTTCTGCTTCATCTGCTTCTACCGTCAAGACATCTTCGCCTTTGAATCCTGCGCATACCCTGTCTCAGTCACCGCAATCGACGCCTCCATCTAAACCTATCATACTCGGGCCATCGCATAGCGATCCTCCGAGCTATGAATCCACTCCCAAGTCTAGGCCCCGTGTTTCGTCCACTTCCAGTGTCCCTCGAGGACGCGGCCCTTCCCCTCTGCGCGAGGCGGCGGCTTCCAACGCACTCCAGATCACTCGCGTTACGTCGAATCCATTGCCGGACTCCGTACCGGATGCCGGTGCTATTACCCCGCGCGCATTAGGCCTGAGCTCTTTTCGGTCGCGCTCGCGGTCCACCTCCACGTCCAAACCTCGAGACCAATCCCCAGAGGCCGCCACAGTGGTCGGCGAAGATCTTCGTGCGTCCGTTCTGACTCCCGTGCACGCCTGGTGGCATGAGAAGTTTCACCCGACCTCGCGACCGTGGTCCGAAGGTCCGAAGCGAAAGAAGACGGTGCCTCCAGAGCAGACCGAGAACTACCTGCATACCAAGGAGGTTCGTCTCTGCATTCCACCTCTCACAGGCATGCAACTAACTACAAGCGCCACATAGCGTGTCATCGAGGCGACAGCATCTGTTCTGGGAGCAGCTGCCCGCGTCACTCATGAAGCTTTGTTTATCGGAGTCGACTTCCTCAAATTTGCACCCGTGCCGGCGTTGGAGGTCGCCGGCGTGGTTCTTCTGAACATCTGGGAGGCGGTCGAGATGATCGAGGTGCTTTCGCTTATATTCGGGCTCGGAGATTGAACTCACCGGGCGATGATATTAGATGAACCGTTTGGCTTGTCTTCGACTCACGGAACGCTGTGCGGAGACATTGATCTCAGTCCGTGAGGAGATACAGCTCGCAGGCGTGGCCACTGCTACCGAACTTGAAGAGCCCATCAACAAGCTGCAGAAGTATGCCCGTTCACTCTTTGCACTATCCTTGAACATGAGTCTGACGCAAGTGAACAGCGCCTTCCGAGAGGTCCATGTCTTCTTGCAAAGACAGGCACATCGTCCCTTCCTACATCGCTACCTGAAGCGGGACGAGATTCAACGAAGCATAAGCCATTGCGACGCGTCTCTCAATGATGCTCTTGACATGTTCAGCGTACGTTCGGCGACACTTGCCGAGCTTTGATGTCGCTTACGCCTCCACAGCTCAGGGTCCAAATTCGCACCCTCAAACTCGTACAGGCGAACGAAGCCCGTCGCGTGGAAGATAAAGAGATGATCCTCGACTCTCTGGGATCTCTCAGATTGAATAACCTTCCCTCCGTCGATGGCCGTCCGCTTCCCCCGGGAACGTCGACCGTAACTCTCACGCCCGCCCCCGCCGCGCCAGACGTCGATTACCTGAAAGATCCGCAAGAGGTTCAGAAGCTTTTGCACGACTACAGACGCGAACAAAACAACCGCGATCGCGCGAACGATCTGGCGGACTTGCGGCAGCTTATGCGGACAGCTCTGCAGACGAACAACGACGCGACGATGATCGATGTCCTACAGATTGCTCGCGACGAGATGCCCGAGGCCATCAAGACACTTCAACGTGCGCTAGAGCGGGAGGTTGAACGAGAGCGCTATTCGACGTCATCGGACAGCTCGAGCTCCTCCCCCGAATCTGAGGCTTCGCCTATCTATAGGGCTCGAGGTCGTGCCACGCGCGCTGCATCCATCAATCTGGCCTCCTTATCTCAGCAAAGAGCGAGCGTGGAGTCGTCTGAGGTGGTGACGAGCAGCGAGATCAGTGCCCCACCCATACTGGACACGCTGGACCGAGAGTTCATCGAGACTGGTATCGATGCTCTGCGCCGCCTGAGTCAAGGGACAGATCTCGCAGTGCCGAACTGGACGATCACCCGCTACGAGGTTGAGCTGGACGAGAAGATCGGCATCGGTTTCTTCAGCGACGTTTACAAGGGCCAATGGCACGGTCATACCGTTGCTATCAAGGTGCTCGCGGAAACCACGCCACGTCAACTCTTTGTGCACGAGATTGGTATCTGGAAGAAGCTCGACCATCCGAACGTCATTGAGCTGCTTGGTGCTAGCTCGGCTACCTCCGATCCACCTTGGTTCCGTACGTGACGCTCCTCCGCGAATGTGTGCGTATACTGATTCAAACACAGTCGTCAGCCCCTACTACCGCAATGGCAACTTGGTTCAGTACCTGAGAACCTTGGCGCCGGACGCTCCAGTCGACATGCTTAAGATGATGCATCAGATTACGAAGGGAATGTCGTATCTGCACAGCAAGGGAATCCTACACGGTGACCTCAAAGGCGCCAACGTTCTTGTGGACGACCGCCTGCACTGCATCATCTCGGACTTCGGTCAGAGCGAGATGAAGTCTGAAGTCTTCCGTCTCAGTCGCCAGCCAGTACCTCGTATGTCTTCCCCATCATCTGTAAAATGCTGTCGCTAACGTTGCGGTTCAGATGGTACGCTCAGATGGCAATCCCCGGAGCTTATGAGGGGCGCCATTGACGGTCTTACGACTGGCGTCGATGTGTATGCCTTCGGGATCCTATGCGTGGAGATCCTCAACAGAGGCGCACTGCCTTGGCCCATCGCGGACGACGAAGCCGTTCGACGCTTTGTCATCGGTGTGTACCAGCATCCTCGATAGGCATTCAGATACTGAGCCATTTCCGTAGAAGATAACAAGCGGCCAAGTTTGCCGCTGACTCCCATAGCTCAAGGTCCTCTGGGAAACATTATACAAGTGCGTGCCACTTTGCATTGCTGTACGTGTACTGATATGTGCCTTCAAGTCTGCATGGAGCCGTGATCCCCGTCTCCGACCGTCCTTCTACAAGATCGAGCGTGACTTGAGATCTCTGCGGCATCGGACTGGAGCCGCGCCCGACTCGCCGCGCCCTCCTTCCATGGCCATGCTTATCGAGGAGGAGGACAACGCGCATTCACAACAGTCTCCAGACATGCGCCCGACAGAGCTTCCGAGTACCTCTCGTGAGTCTTGTGGCGTGACTTACTGTGAACATGATGCTCATATCTGATCAGAGACACACGACGACTTATACGGATCTCTGCCGTCTGATACCACGGGCTACGAGACCGCTACAAGTCAACTCAATGAGCGGTCATCGACCGTGGGACTTCTATCGCGACGGTCGTCTATAGCCACGGTCACGACCACTGCCACAACAACAGAGACCACAAGCGACTCTCTTCATGACAGTGTTGTGCTACATGAGAGCATGCTCGATTCTGGCTACCTTTCCCCGCCAGACCCAAATAGCACCGCGTCAGAGTTCATGAACGAGCGCCGCTACCGGATGCTACTGCAGCACGATTATCACACGACGCGTACGTTATTCGCACCAGTCGAATCTTCGCCTGTCTAAACCATCCTTCAGTTACTCTCCCGCTGTGGACACCTGCCCAAGTCCGCCTCGGCGCTGTTGGCTATCTCTCAAAGCCCGAAGGAAGTTTCGTGACGCTCTTCAACTGCATGGACAGGCTCGCGCCCGATGGCTCGTCGGTGGACTTCCCAAGCTTGTCGGGCTATGGGCGTGTCGCGACCAACTCGACGCGCTTTGAGAAGCGCAATGCGGCCGAGCGCGGCATCGACCTCATCCGCAGCTTCCTATCCAGCAAGCGCAAGCTCGACGATGGATCGTTGGCGTGCGTCTTCATGCTTTTGCACACCAGACACGAGCTTACCATGTTTTTGTAGGCCTGCTGTGAGCCGCACGCAGTCGTTCCAGCTACGAGCAGGTCACAAGGTTGCGCACCTATACGCCGAGTCGACCGTGTACCGCTACATGGAAGACCTTCGCATCCCAAAGCAATGGTTTGAAGCCAACGTCGACGGGATTCTGGCCAAGTATGGGCGCGACCATAAGCTCACGCGCGGAGACGTTTTCCTTGGTACGTTACCCAATCCCGGTCTTGGGTATACTCCGCTCAATGTACTGACATCACTATAGTCATTGGAACGCTAGAGGCCCAGGACTACGCGATGTTCGTCAGCCATACACACCCCGATGGCCAGGTATGAATCCAGATATGATGTCGATGCCTCACTGCTAACCTTGACGCTCGTAGATCAACTTCGACGTCTTTTCCGGTACTCGGCCGGGCGAGCCGTGGGGCGAATTCGTGCCTACTACTGCCGCTGGACCATCCCCCGCGCTCACCGGTCCGGTATACGATGGCGAGGGGATGGGTACCATGCGATGGGCGCACAAGACCTCTCGCTCGAAAGGCTCTCTATCGACGGAGAGATGGGACTCGGTGCTGCTGGCGAGACTACGCTTCAAGCCTGACGCGGCCGAGCCGACCCGTTTGTGAAAATGTTGCATTTCAACCTGCATGACTGCTGCTGTGGAACTGGACAATGACTGATACCATCTTGCATAACACTGTAACGTATACGCATACCTCTCATCATCACCACGAATATCCACGCTCGTAACATACACCTGGACCCATACGAATCGATACTATGACGACCTAAATGAACTCTGACGTCAACTGCTCCTAGTGCCCCTATCTTGGCCCCGCGCTCATCTACGCCCGCGCCTGCGAACGTTGTTCTCAAACCGCGACCAACCCCTTCCTATTCCGTGCAACGATCAACTACAGTACTGTCACCGAACTCTATCTCAAACACTATGGCGAGCACTGGTCAACCCGCTGCGACGTTCAAGCTCGATGACGCCGTCGCCACACCCTCCTCGGAGTGGGCCGAGGCTACCCGCGCCGCGCTCGAGGACAAGACGGCCCCTGTAGGCACCTCGCACACTACGGCTGCCCCCGGTGGTACTGCTCCTGTGATTCCAAACTCTAGTACGCTTCCGGCTGGCTCGAACCTTGCGAACACCACACCCGGCGCTGCGCCGACGGGCACAGGGATACTTGCCTCTGTCCAGCCACCAACCCCTGGCCCTCATATCCCTGGAGCTTACCCTTCCCCTCACGAAACTGTCCCTGAATCCGCCATTGACACGAGCGCTATCCGTCAGGACGTCAATCAACTGGTACAAGAGGCTCGTGAACGTCTGCCAGCACAAGAAGACCTTGAGAAAGCCGCACAGGATATGGCGCAGACGGCTACGACTCTCGCCCACACGGCCACCTCCTATCTCCCCCAGTCCATTGCGGACAAAGTTGCTGAATACCTTCGTGAGCATCGCTGCCTAACGCACGTCCTAGTGGTCACTGACTCAACTATAATAGCTACCGCTCGCGCCTCTGAGAACGATGCCATCCACGACAAGTCTATGCCCACTCAAGAGACTCACGGCGCACAGCCCGGCGAGAAGATCGGTGGTGCAGGTGCTCTGCCCGGTGGCGTCGATGAGGCCGCTGTGGCGAAGCTTCCGGGTGACGATGCTGCCACCGGGCTCCCTGAGGGCGCTATCCCGACTCTGGGAGTAGCTGCGGTAGCTGGTAGGTTCTTGCTACTTCATACCATCACGAGAGTATGCTCATGTTCCGCCCAGGTGTCGCCGGTTACAAGGCTTCTGAGCACGATGCGTCCCACGACAAGTCTTTGCCGACTCAGGAGACGCGCGGGACTCAGCCCAATGACCAGGTCGGAGGTGTAGGCGCTCTTCCGGGTGGCGCCAGCGAGTCTGGTGTTGCTGCAGTTCCCGAGAATGCTGCTGCTGGAGCATATAGGTCTCTGCCGACTCAGGAGACGCAGGGCGCTCAGCCGGGCGAGAAGGTCGGCGGCGTTGGCGCGTTGCCCGGTGGCGCGAACGAGACGGGTGTTGCGAAGCTCCCGGGTGATGACGCTGCGACTGGGCTGCCTGAAGGCAGCAAGGGGGCGGCAGTTGGTAGGTGTCTACTGTTCCAACATGAGATCCATTGTTCATATCGTGGGACAGGTGCCGTTGTCGCTACTTCAGCGGCGTTGACAGCTACTTCAACCGCAGCGCCCAACACTGCGTCTTGTAAGTCGATACGCAGTCGTTCCCGTACCTTTCTCCGCTCACTAACATCAAGCCACTTTCCAAGTACCCGCACGACCTGAAGACATGGTGTCGAAGAGCCACGACTGGCCTGATGCTCGTTCTCACGGAAGCCCTCCCAAGGACGCAGCTGCCACCACCGACTCTATGACTACGGCCGACAAACGCGATGGTAGCAAGAAGGAGATCCTCATCCCGGTCGCCAAAGGCGAGGGCGGCCAGGTTCCCACCGCTAACGCTGCGTTCAATGCGCCGGCCAAACCCGAGGCTGCCGGAAAGGACACGAACGCGGATGATCAGGTTCGTACTGCTACTTTTCCTCCCGCTCAGCTGGAGCCACGCAAGTGGCGAGCATGGAAGGGTGCCAGCGCGCCTGGGGAGACGCCAGAGGAGGACGTTGATCTGGCGGAGAATGATGTCGGCGGCCCGCCTCTTGATGAGGAACGATACGCTAAGGACCTCGAGGTGGGCTGGCGCTGCTCTCATCCTCATCATCTCGGCCGTCACGGTCAAGTATCGTTTGCTGACGCTGTTGCAGGCACAAGGCGCGTCGCTTGACGCTTCGCACGGAAAGACCAAGCCGACAGACGCACATTCCCACTCCGGCGCGTCTGCGCACACCGAGGGATCCAAGGATGAGGCGAAGCACAAGGCGTCTTTCATGGAGAAGGTGAAAGGCGAGATGAAAATCATCTCCGGCAAGCTCGGCGGCGACAAGCACAAGGTCGAGGAGGGAAAGAAGTTGAAGAGCGGAGAGGTCTAAGGAATGTAATCTGCTACGGTGAGTACCCCATCTTATCCCTCGTACGATTATCTCGCTCATCACGAGTCTGCGCCCAGATCTAATGAACAACACGCGGACTGTACGAGGACTCGATTTGTACGATATGAGATCAGCTCTTGCGCGAGGCGATGCTTCACTGTGCCCCTTCCATTCCAACGTGTATAAGGACTGCTTCTGCTTACTTCAATCACAACGTGTACGCATTCCTGCATCGCAATGTCATGACCTTCGAACCAGTTTAGCCTTGAACGTGGCGTGTTGACTGCGCAGGACTCGCTCGATGGGTCGTAGGTCTCGACCAACGCGCGAGTTGAAGATCGAGACTCATCCCCTCCTCGAAGCCCCATCTGGTCCTATACCTTCTTCCATGGCGGAGCGGTACCGCTGGAGGCGTTTTCTGCGCCGAAAATAGGACCGTTGACGTCGGTTCTACATCTCTTTCAGCTCACGTATGTCATTTGGCGGACAGAGATGAAGAAAGAATAGAGCACGGGTTGCCCTTGGGGCTTGCTGTAGGTTACGTCATTCGGCGTATCGCATGAACTGATATGGTCCCGAACAAGCTTCGTGGCTACGATTCTGAATTGCAATTGCCCCAGAAGGCACGTTGTGGTGAAGAGCAAGGGGCAGGCAACGCGGCGGGCGGTGTTCGGTGAAGACTTCGACGATCTCAACGCGGTAACCACGCGCGCTCTATATGCCGCGTTGCAGCGCCTGTTGCGGACCGCAAGATGGCAACGAGTGGGGCTCTGAGGATAAGTATATAGGCCTTGCAGTGTTACGCCATAGGACTCCTCATCGCATCGTTACTCGCCCAGGTCGCCCACCGTCGACGCGCTTGCCACCGACTCTTTGAGTGCTACAGATGGCTTCCTTCTCTGGTCTCCGCATCTTTCTCTACGGCACCCTTGTGAGTGGCATGATTACGGGTCTCACAACACCGGCTTAACGTATCGCACAGTGGGTCTTTGCCGTTGTCGAGCTTGCTTTGACGGCTGTCCGTCTGCATTACACGCTCACATTCGCACCTGGTGATCCCCTCAATGGTGGCCGCCACTTCTACGGTACGTAGTGCTAAGCGCTCACGCTCCCGCTACTCTGACATTGGAATAACGTCCTCCAGATCCGGTCAATGTCGAGCTTCTGGTGACGTCCTGCCTGGCCATTCTTTGGGCACCCCACGCGTATGTCGCATGTCTTCATCTCCGTCGAGCGCCAGGCTGACATGTGTAGTATCCATGCCATCTCGAGGCGCCGCGACCGCGGCTTCGTCACCAGCTTCACGTTCGAGAACATCGCACTCTTCATCCTATGGGTCATGATGCTTGTCGGCGCCGCGTACGCCACGGTGAGTCCGGCTTCAACCGAATCAAGGCCTCTTGACGCTGAACCGCTTCATCAGCACCTTTGGGGCGGCGTATCGTACTGCTGGAAGGGCTACTGGCAGTGCCGTGAGCTCTCGGCAATGCTCGCGTTCGCGTGGATGTCGTGGATCATCATGACCTTCCTTTGGATCCTTGCCATCTTCATCCCGACGCGCAACTCGGCTTGGGACAACCAGCCCATGCACGGCTACTACCTCGGCCCTCGAGAGAGCCTCGCACCCGAGACCGCTCAGTATCGCGCGTAAGGCGCGGTGGCTCCTCAATCTCAAAGGTCTATCTATAAAGGCCACTACGTCTCGATTATACTCTAATGACCTCACGCGCTTCATGTTTCCCGTTCACGACTTGCTGTGTATATATGGACCGAGCTCTTTCTGTATTTGCCTTGTAATCGCTTCTGTATCAATGCTCATGCTGTCTTTTGTTACACGCGCGAACTTGTCTGTCGCCATAGCGCCAAGGCGGTACACAAACGGTTCACAGTACAGTCACCACTCGATGGCCATAGTATCAAGTGAGCTTCCCGTTGTCAGAAGTAACAGTGTGAGCATTGTGGTATTCATCAATGCTATCGTACTTAAGACGAGAGTGCACTACATGCCCACCGCCAATGGCAAGGACGAAAGTCGACCCACGCCCCCGCACCGAGACCCAAACACGAAGGATGAAAACTGGCCAGCTCACATACCGACTCCCCTCCCCGTCGCAGCTCGGGACAGGCCACACGACTCGTCCGACTCGCAGACGATCCACAGGCACTTCGGCGAGTGCCGTGTCGTATCGCATCCAGCTGAAACTTGGCCAGTGTGCCCTGTGGTGCCAGTCGCCCGTCTCTGCCTTATCTCACTCCAGGAGTTCCAGCCCTTCAACCTCTTCCGGTGAAAGCAGCGATGAGGTCTCTGAAGGAGTGTCAGTTGAAGGGGAAGAGCCTGTTGAAACGCCCCATGTGAGCACACACAGCATCGTCCGCCGGTACTCATCTACTATCGAGAGGTTCTTTCAGAACTCGGTTCCGGACTACACGCCGCCTTCTTCGAGCGGGGAGCGCTTCTTCGAGGATTCCGCGAGCTTCATGTCTTCTAGGCCTAGAGACCAGGACCGTTCTCTCAGTCCGACACCCGCCCGTGACCTGGGAGTGCATAAACAACGCAATTCGAGCGCAACGCAGCACGAGCATGATCTCGACGTGGCGGAGTCAGTCATGGGCAGCATCGTACTGGAGGATGGCAAAGCCACAGAGTGACGCAGTACCAGCCTATGACCACTGGGTGACTGAAACGGGAGTGCGCAGCACAAAGCAGTCAGGGTGGCGAGAATACCGGTGGCGCGCGAACCCGCGTCGAGGGAGAGAGCATCATGGTATCCAGAAGGGGCTCAGGCCGCAGGGATAAGTCTATAGTACACAGAGTATATCCAGGTCAGTTCCTGTCCTTGTGGAATAGAGGTGTACATTGTGAGCCTGTGTGGCGTACATGGATGTCGCAAGCAAGGTTAATTATCTCACAAACGCTCGCTACCTTATTTGGTGTGTTTTGCCCACGCCACCATCATGCCGTGCGATGAGCCTCGGACGCGGCTCTCTCTGCAACAGCGACCATGCCACAGCTATGCGTTCGAATGCCATCGTCTTGATATCGGATCACCATACGGCCTGTCTCTCTATGGGCGTAAGTATGTTGCTGCCATCTTGCGGCGCGTGAGCAAGCGCATGACATGCCGAAGCCATGGAGCGCACCGTGAAACGAGAGCGTCATGACCTTGTTCATGACGCTACGCCCATAGGCGTGAGCGTGGCCAGCGTTGTATATAAAGAGTATACCGTGCTCGCCCGACGCAATTCAACTTCGATCGCAAACATGTGGGTCGGTCACTACGCTCCTGCTCTCGTAGCCAAGACTTTCTTCCCTCGGATTCCGCTTCCTGTACTCGCGTTCCACTATAAGATCGAGAATGGCTGAACGCAAGCCGCCAAGTGGCTTATATTAAGCCAATGGGCTGATAAGTGGCTGATTTTGACCATCAATCGAGCAAATTGGGCGGCTGATATTTTGACACCCATCAGCGGTGCAGCCGTTCCGGTGACTGATTTTGACCAAACACGACTGCTTTTAGGCCATTCTGCAGCGTGCAGATGGCTTATGGAACGACTGCACCTCAGCCGTTCCTGATCTTATAGTGTTCGCCGGAGCATTGCCAGATGCCGCCTTCATGGCATTAAACCTAGTCGGCGTCGAGTCCTTCAATCTGGACAAGTCAATCCAACGCCGTGGGGGATGTTTCCCTTATACCAACGCTTATCCGTATTCGCATTCACTTGCGGGTATGGTCGGCCTTGGTACGCTCCAACTGTTTTGCCCTACATAGACGACTTGAAGTTGACCATGAATAGGAACGGCATATGCGGCATGGTATACCTACTCCAGTCCCCGCGCACTGGACATCACGGACGCCGCTGCCATCGCTGCGATGTCCGCCAGCCACTTCTTCCTTGAACTCCCCGGGCACCGACATGGTTCGTCACTCAGACTGGCTCCCAGAGAGACCGGCTCCCACTCACTTCTACCTACTCTAGATGTCAAGGTCACACCGTCTACGCCTCGCTCGCAGGAGCTGGGAGCCGGCCAATTCGATAGCCCTGCCTCCACGTTCGCGTTAGAGGTAGCAGTCTTCCTATCCTCGCTGGCCTTCTATGCTTGGCGGGTTCCCAGCGTGCGCCAGGATACGCAAAAGCTACTCGGCGTGGGAGCAGTTCTGGTCGCAGAACAAGCAATGTTCTCTTTCGGGAGCGCCCCGACGTCCGAGGTGCGCTTCGTGCACGCCCCAATCTTCCTCGCGCAGATACTGGGTAGTTGCTGGCTCTTGGGAAAGCTTGATTCCTGATCGGAGGTTTATCGATCGAGTTTGTTTGCCCACATCACCATGTATGAATAGTGCGAATGGATGTATACAAAGATCATACTCTCCTGCGATTACTACATGCGTCTCCAGGCGATCAGCTGGGGTTAGGGTATTCTACGGGAATCAATACCCTGATCGTTCTACCGTACTGCTGTTAAGCTATCATGAAATTTCACTCGACGGCAGCGGCAGAATACTGCTTGCTCGTTTATCACACATGGTTGAACAAGGGATGATTGCAGTGAAGAAGATGTACAAAAGGTACTGTCGACAAGAAAGACGTCTGAGACTACTCAAGTCTGGAGGCTGGAGTCCAAGTCCGAACATCCAGAACCGGATCGCGAGAAGACGGCGATAGAGAGCTAGCAGCAAATGACTCGACGGTGTGACCAGTGAAGAACTTCCGGGTTCGAGGCGGTACGATAGGCACCGTTGACAAGGAAGAGGTTAAAATGCTATCGGTGCAGAGATCAGCTACTATATCCGTCGCCGTTCTCGGCCCACGTACAAGAGTTCAATGTGAGAATGGAAAGGTCGCGCCGCCGGGGCTCGGCGCATGAAGAACAAGCACGGAGCGTAGATCTGGGACGGGTCGCCTAGCCGAAAAGCGCAGGAGCTTTCGTTGAGACCATTCGGAGCCGCGGCCGATCAAGCTCAACCACATCCGCGCCATGTCCCAGGATATGCGGCCCTGTGGACGAGTGATTGAGACCGTCCCTCGAGCATGCCCATCATCGCGCATACGGATACATACCTTGTAGGTGACAGTGACACGCTCAAGGGATTCCAGCGTGCCCTGGGGTCACTGAGGGCCGCGCGGGATGTGCGTGCAGGTAACATCGTGTATGATGGCAGAGCCGAGAAGGGATGTAGAAAAGTCGTGTATGCTTGGGTAAGAATGCAAGTAGCGAGCGTGAGTGGCTGTGAGTCACTTGAGACGTGCCTAGATAGTGGCGCAAGGTCGACGATAGCTCACCCAAGGGCTAGCCGAATGACAGAGACGAATGAAGACGTGTATAACTCGTGAGGACGAGCGAGAAAGGATAGTAACTCGTGTTTGACATGAGGAAGAAAGAGAAAATGACGTGTGTTGAAGAAGGGGGCAAGAAGTCGTGTTTGTGAGTGCGCATGGGGGAGCGCGCTCGACGTTACCCCGATAGGTCGTCGAGTTTATATATGTGCGACCTGAAGGGACCAAGCCGCCATACGATCCTTGGCAGTCTAGACCCATCATATAGTAAGGATCCCTCCCAAGCGGCGCGGGAAAGAAAGGTCGGGAACGAGAGGGATAAACGCGGTGGAGCAAAACGCGATCATCTGACGGCAAATCCGACAGGAAACACGGTACGTCACGGCAGCGCGTTGCAAATCGATATCGCGCTCGGCAAACAGGGCTGGTACTGATAAAGCGAGGTGTGATATCCGTCTAGTTCTATGGACGCTCAGTAGAATAAGATACATGGCGATCAGACGTTCAGAGAGAAAAGAGATCGGTCGCGATGACACGGGCACCCTCTATACCTTCCCGCACGCCCTTGACACGATCGAGGTTAACCTTGCGAAGCTCTTCACTCCCCTCAAGAGCCTGCTCCCACCAGCGTTCACCCTCCGGCACAAGTTTCCATCCGCCGCGCAAGAACTCGCGCTCGGCTTTGAGGCCCTTGCGCCGGAGCTCCTGGACATGCTTCCAGTGGGGCGGAGGATTGGCGGGCGAGAACTTCTCCTCGAAGACGGTGGACCCAGAGGGCATGCAGAAGCCGTCGTACGCAAGGACCAGCGACGGCGGAACAGTGATGCGGCCGTGCTTGAAGACGAGCTGGTTGACACAGATGCAGTTCACGACCGCGCCGTCGGCCTCAACCTGAGGCACGTTCGCAGTCACGGACTTCATAGCCGCTGTCTCGGGCCCATCATTTCCCGGCATGGGCGTCGCGGAACCAGGCGCGGGTGTATCGACTCCGCTGGCGGGTGTAGATATGTCAGGGATAGGTGCGCCGTCGGTCGGATGTCCGCGCTCGGCCGGCCGACTTTTCTTCAGCTTCTTCGCAGGGTGCGTCACGTATCGTGCGATGAGAAAGATCTGGGGGTGAATATGAGTACGCACGCGACTTGTGACGTGAAAGATGGGCGATCGCGTACCCATTTCTGGTCCCACGCTACGAGAGACATCCGGATTTCGTACGAGGAGAGGATAGGGATCTCTTTCAAGAACTGGAAGTGGGTTGCTGCTCGCAGTCAGTACCGAGGATAGATTGCGCGTGTGCCGGAGCGACGTACCAGCAAGAGCGATACCTCCGCCAGCCGTCATATAGCCGGGGAAGTAGTCCAACGCCGAGCGCATGCGCGCACAGTCAAGGTTCTATAGGACGACGTCAGCAGTCGACGCAGATGTATGGGACTGCACACACACCTTGGGATACGACGAATTACTCAAGTGCATGTTATAATCCGAATCGGAGAAGTCTGCACGGAGTTGAGCGCAGTGTCACCGGCTAAGGGAATTGTGGCGCACCTGCCCAAGACTTGTAGACATACTGGCGCGTGAACGGGTTCGAACCCACCGGAGCCAGCGCCTCGACCCATCGGTGAATCGCCTCTCTCTTCTCTTTCTTCGACTTGAGCAGGATAGAAAGCCGGAAGAGCTGGAATCGCGCCTGTAGAACAATGACAGGCCACCATACGCGTGCTATTGCCAAAGTCAGTCACGTATATATAAAGATGAAGCAGTAATCACGCACTGTGCCATGCAAAAGGCGCAGAGCGCAGGTTCGCGAGCGCAAGCAAGACCGCCAGATATTTCGCCACAGTCATCGACCGCGGCATCACGCGAGCAAGTGCCGCAAGCGCCGCAGACGCCGAAGCCGCGTAGTTCTGCGCGGACTGAACCAGAGCGTCCATTAAGAGTCGAATAGTATAGGCGATATTCCGAGTCGGTATTAGCAAGTCTAAGTCTATATAGGGAGCCAGGGAAGCAGCCAAGGAGAGCGCTGATGCCGGTGATGGTTGGGGAAGGAGCCTCGGAATGCCGGTTGGGAGATGCCGGTTGACCCGGTTCCGTCGACGCCGGTGCCACATCGTCTCGTTGCTTCCGCTCATCATGACCTCGTACGAACCCTACGAGACTTGTATCATACGCTCTCATTGTGCTACTGCATGCTCTCAGTACCTATGGGCACATTGTCGAGTCCGATTGCGGACTGCTCAGAGGGAAACCCGGTGCTCGCGGAGATGTTGTTGTCGTGGTCAATGGTGCCGACTCAATAGGCCGCCGTTCAACCACTACACCGGTTTTCTGACACATCCTCGATGCTGCGCGCACCCCAGAACTCTGTCGCGTACTGTCTGCGGTGAGTACGCCGACGCCTCGCCGATGCTGCCTCCACATGCGAATGCTCGACGACGCAATAGTGTACAGAACGTGCCTGCGCCGGCTAGGTCAACCACACAGCGGAAGATTCGACAATCTTTCTTATCTTCGAAGAAAGTACAGATCTCACAGTGAGCTGAGACTTGATGTAGCACGACGCTTTTTTTGCTAGGATGATGAGATCGAAGCTCACGAAACAACCCGTCCGACGCCGACCTGCCCGCACCCGCCCACTGGTTATCCGCTAACAGCGCTAAAAGCGCGAAGATGCAAAGCCTGAGATTATCTAGAAGATGTAGATCAGCGAGGGTGTGGTCATAGCGGCGAAGTGCTTTTGTCTCCGCCTGGAAACCGGCGGGCGCCCGGAACGCCAGATGCGAACGCTCACGGACTCGATGCACGAGGCTCACAACAGAAGTTCACCATCCGCCCTCGAAAGATCCTTTCCCCGCTCCCTTATGCTGCGGATCGTTCATTGAGGCAGCCTCGAGGAGCACATCTCGAGATACACATAGTGTTCCCGAGACGTCGATCGTCATGCAAAGGCAGCTTTGTGCTCTCGGACAAACACGAAGACAAAGGACCAGGGCGCGGGCAGCCGGAAACCCCGAACGACGGCTCTTTCGTCTCGAGTAGTCTCGAGGGCTGCGTTCTCTCTGCGAGAACAAGGCGCGAGGAGCACGCATTTGGGCTGCAAGGACCGCGTAAGGTACCAACGCGCGGTCACGTGAGATCAAGCCTATATCTCAATCGCCCATTGTTCTCCGCCACACGCGATCGAGATGGGCGCAACGAGGCGTATGTTCCGGTCCGAGAGATAAGGCAAAGTCGATATCTAGTAGACTACTGTGCATAGAGATATTTTGGAGCGGGAAATACGAGATTCTGGTGTGTGGCATGGCCCGCGCCTTGTTCCCTGTCGAGATAATAAGGAAGATGGGCCTGGCGACGGAAATAGGGACCCACCAGCCGAAACAATAGCGTTGATGGCCGAGTGCACCAGAAGCTCCAGATGCTCGGACGCGGGGGCGTCCCAATGGAAGATGAGATGGTGTGATGGTGTATTGACGAACACAAAGGGATCGGACAAACGAAGGCTAGCCTCGCGCGACGCGTGCCCGGGCACGCGTGTGGTTCGCTGCTTGTCACATTCGATAAAAGGACCTCTTCACAACTCTTGCGCGACCGTCATCTCCTTGCTACGCTACTGCGACCTTTGCCGCCGCCGCCCTTATTGCTGCTCGTGCCGCGCCTGAATTCGAAGCGAACGCCACATTCATCAAAATCCGATATGTCGAGCCCATTCAATACATCCTCGCCGCGCGGCTCGCGCGCATCCACACCCATCATCGTCAACGACTACGACTACGTCCCGCAAGAGTTCGACGACATGCTCTATCAGATGCAGACCGACCGGGCGTGCATGCCCTACAGCACGCCCTCGGACCAGCTGTTGCTGTCGCAGTCGGAGGCCGGCACGATCGAGCTCATGGTACGTGGTTATCGCGCACTGTGGCGCGCTAGGCGTTGACAACCACACTTCTTTAGCTCGAGAGCGGCCGCTTTACCAACGCCCGGACCGTCATCGAGACGCTATTCGAGAGGAACGGTATTCCCGTACGTCCCTCCTCTCATCCCCGCGCCTGAGCATCGTGGGCTGACGCTGCTCCATAGTCTCATGGGATTGCCCAGATGCCGTATCCCATCGCGAACGAGGCGGAGCTCGGCGCGTCCCGAGCGAGCACGCCCAACCACAACACCATTGTTCTGCCGGACGACGCCACAGTCGATCAGCCGCCGCACTACGCCCGCGCACGCTCGCACTCCGTGACGCCGTCGCTGTATAGCGATGCGGACGCTTCCTCCCCGTCGACCAGCGGAATCGCGACTCCGGCCGACATCTTTTCGCGGCCGTTGGACGAGTATGAGATCGAGGAGGAGATCGAGGAGGAGCAGGAGCGCGTCGTTGCCCCGGTTGTGGCAGGATCCTCGGGGAGCCGCAAGCGCTCCCGTACCGTCGACGACGACGACGACCTCGACTTCGAGCCCCACATCGCGCCAAAGCCGCAGCCGCGGAAGCGCACGCGCGTCGCCCGCCGCGCCGCCGCCGACAGCGACGCCGAGTTCTCCGACAGCGACTCGGACGCACGCCCTGCGCCCCGCAAGCCCAAACGCACCGGCGGGCGCGCTGCGCCGGTTATCTGCCGCTGCCCGCACGACAAGTGCCAGAACGACGCGGGCTTCTCGTCCGTGCGCGTCTACGAGCGGCATTATCGCTCTGTGCACCTCGGTGTGGCGAAGGACGTGCAGTGCGGCGGGTGCGGCCTGACGTTCGAGAGCGGGCGCAAGGACAGCGTCCTGCGGCACCAGGGCAAGAATAATCAGCGCCAGTGCCTCGGGAAGCCCATTCTCGTCGCCGACGAGAGCAGGCGGGTGCCCGTGCCGCGCGCTATCATGCTGTAGACGCTTTGCTCGTCGTTGTCTGCTCTTCGCTGTCTGTTTTGTCACTGTTTGTTGCTGCCTGCTGTTTCGCGCCGCCTGTCTGGTTGTTGAAATCCAATGTATCCGCTCCGCTGCTTGATATCACTCCATGTCATCCCATTTGTTTTGTATAGTGTACATCTCTCTCTCTCGTCGTACTTGTAGTATACCTGTCTCGTGTTTGTTAACTGGAATCCAGATCGCTTCAGCGATGAGAACGCACCTGCGCTCATCTCGCCCACATCCTTTATGACTCGATCGATCGATATCCGCAAAGTTAGTTCATTTGCCACAGGGGAGTCTGAGAAATGACTAGAAACAAAAGATGCGGAGAACAAAGGAAGGTGGAGGGGCACGGCAAGTGCCGCTTCGTCTGGCCTTTGTTCGTCGGGCCAGGAGCCGGCTCCAGAGTTCCGGAGTCCAGAACGCTCGCTTTCTGTCACGCTAGCCCGCTCTGAGCTTACCTTCGGACTTCGTGGTACGCAGAACCAGTTGCTCTCGAGGAGAGGCCGGAACTCTATCCGCGGAAGGGAGTATGTCAGTGAATGGCAGGAGAAGAAGACCTCGGTGGGCGCTCTTCGAAACACGACGTCCATAATCACCCACGTTCTGTTGCACACGGCGACGGTCATACACCTTGCTTCACGCACTCATCAGCCTGCGGGCTTATCAACACTTGCCGTCTCAGTGTTTAACAGAGTTCTACTTGCTGTACTAGCTTTCAAAGTTGCGCTCTGGTGCGTATCTACGTAGATCAGCCGGGTCGGAATTGCCTCATGTGTTCCCGCCTTCCATCAATCAGCTTCAAGTTCTGGCGAGCTTACGCCTCGGAGCCGTAAATCGAGCGCTCTATCTCTGTAAACCTACCTTGTACGAGAGTTCAGAGGATCGAACAACTGTATTTTGAACGCACGGGTGCGTGTCTGTCCTGCTACCTGCTCCGTCACCTATATTGATTACTGTGCGCGTAGGATCTCTGCATCATATAATGTCTTCACTCAAGTCCATACCACCACTGATTCCCATACCAGCAAACTCAACCACTCAGCCCGAACCCGATGCATTGCCAACTCCAGCTTCTGCATCGAGCGACTTCGGCGACTTCATGTCTGTACCGGCTTCGGAGGACCCTCTACGGCCTATGACACCAGTCAAGACCCAGCCGCGACCCACGACCGGCATGTCTGTACAAGCAGGATCCGCTCTGCTAGACGAGCTTCTCGCGCATGAGGACGATCCAATGTACTTCCATCGCGCGTCCTCGTCGACTACCCCACAGCCCTCGCACTCTCCTACACCGCCTGCATCCCAACCTGCATTGACCGAGACAATCGCCAACAAGGTGCAACAACTGGTCGACGCGCCTCTGCAACTTCTACAAGACCTCTCTGACGCCTCATCCACGCCCATCCTTGAAGACCCTCCGCCCCTACAACATCGTCCACATTCGCACTCCTCCGGACTCTCCAACTCAACGCCGTCTCTTCCCTACACGATCCCCGAACGCCGACACGTACGCGAGAACTCGCTTCCGTCCTCACCGGTCCTCGCCAGCCCACCCGTACTCTCACACGCCGAATCACACTCGACCATCTCCCAGCCGAGCGAATCCACAACACGAAACGGCAGAGGAAGCTGGATGTCCTCCCTCCTATCCATCTCCGCGCCCCATCCGCCACCCGCGCCTCCTCCAGCACCCAGCTCAGGATCAGCTCTATCCTCAACCCGGCCTCACCACCCCTTACACGCCGCTACTATGCCGGGCGTATCGCACGGCAGCCCCTTCGCCCCGCACACGTTCGTGCCGGCCAGCGGTGCGCCGGGGTTCGCGGGGGACCGCGAATGGGATAAAGGGTTCACGTTCGAGAAGGAGCCGAGCGCGCGCGCGGGGCCGAAGCTTGTCGGGCGGAACGAGATCACGACGGCCGTGCTGAGCGACGGGCTCGCAGCGGAGGTGTGTCCACACATATGCTTGGGTAATCGCACTGGCTAATGATTATTTGGTGATACAGCTACGACCGTTCTTCCCGGCCCTCGCGCGCCTCCCCAAATCCTGGCGCCTGCTCTACTCGCTCGACCAACACGGCATCAGCCTCAAAACGCTCTACGCGCGCTGCGAGGCGCACACCGGCGGCGTCTTGCTCGCCATCAAAGACGCGCGCGGCGGCACATTCGGTGCGTGGTTGGGCGCGGGCCTGCATGCGAGCCACGGCGCGGGGTACTTCGGCTCGGGCGAGAGCTTCTTGTGGACGGCACGGAGCGGGAAACAGGAGAGCGGCGCGATGCAGGTTTTCAGGTGGTCGGGGAAGAACGACTATGTGGCGCTGTGCGAGCCGGATTATATCGCGCTCGGCGGTGGGTCAGTACTCGTTCTTTCGTTACCACTGCATGCTAGTGTTGACGCGGGTTGGATTTTGCAGCGACGGCTCGTACGGGCTCTATCTGGATGACGCGCTCGGCGACGGGACGTCCGCGCGCTGCCCGACGTTCGAGAATGAGCCGCTGTGCGCGCCGGGTGCGCCGACGCGGGGCCGGGCGCGTAAGTTCGAGTGCGTGGGGCTGGAGGTTTGGGCCGTGGGCGGGACGTAGCCAATGTAACTTTGGTCCTCAGGAACTTCGGAAGCACTGTACTTGATGGAGGAGTGGTGGTACGCTGTTTTTTTGCGCGGACACCTTGTATCATATGTCACACGAGCGCATGCATACATGGATAGTGTGCGGTTTGCACACTCGCCGATGGTACAATGATTACCTAGGCCGCCGGCTTCAAGTCCGTTGCAGCTTGCAGCCACTGACGTGCGGTATCGGTGGGTCCCGTGTCTTCGATCATGATCGCGCTTCCGAGCGTCTGCATCCGTCGCCGAGGTCGCCGATGCGGCGGCCTTTCTCATTGGCCTTTGCGCTCACCTTCAGGGAGATGTTCTTGCATTCAATGGCAGCTGTTTGACCGGTACCGACTCAACTCGACTGCTCGATGTCGTGTGTTACAGCGTACGGTATGGAAACGACGGCCAATCCATTATTGTGCTACGCGCCAGGCGATCTAACCTACAAAGGTTAAGGTGAGCTGTTTACATTCCGTCGCTGCTATTGTCCCGGTTGCTAACCTATCTCAAACAGCCGAATATAGCGCTCGTACTTCCAGCAGGTAGGATGCGCAATCCTCGGAAATGCTCAACCTCTCACAGACGATGTCTACGCTTCTCTCAAATGAGAAGCACATCATCCGAGGTGGCATGAGTATACCGGCGTGCGGGAACGCAGTGCCATCCGCTAGCCAGCGAGGATGTCGACGAGGTTTTAAACTCCAGCCACCGGCTCTTGCGGATACATCTGCGACATGGCTAGCTTGGTGAGCGCGTGCTATTCAGCGACAGAGGGCGCCGTATAAGGATGTCGCAGCACAGCTGTATCTCGCTCGGACCTCCACCCATCCGTGTGCCCTTCATGACCAACGAGGCTACCCTGCTGCAGCAGTACGGTACGATACCATGCCCTCCAACTATTCGATGTCTGACTCACGTTTGCTGTAGAGTCGTTCATTAAGCTGCAGCACGTTCTCTTAGGACTCTACCTGTGCGTCCTCCATCCGTTCTTTTGGGGATGCTCTTGCTCAACCTCGTCCAGATGGGAATACGTCACGAATCTGCCCTTCGACTACAAGGTCCTCACGTCCAAGAAGAAGACGACACAGCGCCGAGTACCGTGGATCAAAGGCGTGCGTATGCTCACTCCGGTACAGACGAGGTACTCACGGTGCATACTGCAGATCTATCTATCATGTAGATTCATGGGCGTGGCGGCGCTTGTCACGATAGTAGCTGGACTCGATATCAGCGGGCCGATCAATTGCCAGGCGTGGGTCCAGGCGTCTTTCGTGCGTGCACTATCTAGCTCCAATATCTCTTTCTGAACATGGTCCTAGGCATTCTCATACACCGCCTTAGTACTGGCATCAAGCCTTATCGCCATCCGTGTTCTCACCATCTGGGCATGGAACAAGGTTGTGGTGACAATCGCAATCATAGGACTGGGCGTAGAAGCCGGAACTCTCATCCATAGTAAGCCATCCTACTTGCATGCACGTTGCAGAAGATCTTGAATACGCGTCTTTCAGATATCGTCGAGATACGTGCGGTGTACGTGCCCACGGCAGGAACATGTCTGACGGTCAATCCGCACTCCGGCACTCCCAATGTAACCGCTTTGTTCTGCAACGACTTCTTGCTACTGGTTCTCATGCTCTTTGGGCTGTGGCGCATGAGAGATGCCGGTCGCTTTCAGCTGTGGCGGGTACTCAGGAACCAGGTTCGCCCGGCGCGCTGTCCTCTCTCTGCTACTATAAACGGTATACTGACTCATGAGTGCACAGGGCCTGTTCTGGATCTTCATGGCAACCGTCGCTGAGCTCCCGACCGTCATCTTCATATTTCTCAACGTCAATCCCGTGCTCGACACTATCTTCTACTCCCCAGAACGTGAGCAACGTTCCTGCGTCTGCGCTAGTCATGTCTCATCCGTCGCAGTCGTCATCCTCATCATCGGCGCCACGCGCCTGTACCGGTCTCTCGCCGAATACACCCAACGTATATCTCCCGTGTACAGTCATATCTCCCATGTCCTTCTAAGACCTTGCTGATGAGAACCATAGAGTCCAGGGTCAGCACAGCGGCCCACTGCGCTACGCACCACCACCGCCACCTCCGAATGCACCCATCCGTGTCATGGTCAGCCAGACCGCCACTGCAGACTCGACGGCGGTCGGCTTTGCCTCGATGCGGTCCGATGGCGATAAAGACGAGTACGAGATGGGCGAGTCGCAATCGCCCGATGAGGTGCGGTTCCAAGCGGACGGGGTGAAGCAGTCCGAGCAAAGCCCGGTGTGATCTTGATTGTACTCAGTATTTTTGCAAGCTTATGTTCGTTTACCTGTAGCATATTCATTGGTCTCATACACGTTGTATCGTTAGCTTATGTAGCTCATTGGTTCCCGATGGAGTATAAGCGGACATGTTCGCGGTGTTTACCACGCTGTTGTCCGATAGCGGATGGCTTTTGTTCGTTGTCTCTTGTTCTCCGTGGGTGCCGTCACCAAAGCAAATTAATGGGCTGTCCGCATCGTGCTACGCTAGATTGACGTCTACACTCGCTATATAGAGTGTGCAGTCCTTCCGAGCTTTGATCATTGTACAAGATGATACCACACCAGCCCGCCGTTTTCATCACTCACGACCCTCGATACGCAGCCTCCGTTCATACGCCGGGCGCATACTACTCGCCCTTGCCCCAACATACACCAGCGCAGACGCTCCTTGCCGCAACACCATATGCGTCTACGACCTGGCAGTCCCCAGCGCCAGGGCCGACAATCATCATCAACAACGTCGCATCTCACCCCTCTGCATCCGCCCACAATCTTCCTGTGTCTCCCTTTCAGCCAGGTATTGGGTTACCTGCACCGGACGAGTTATCCGACGGATCTTCCTCGTCCACGAGTACGTCGTCGGTCGACTTGTTGTCTCCTGTAGACGGCAGGTTGACCAATTACCTTGCAACACCGCGCCCATACCGCCCTTATCACCTTACCTTCGCGCCTGGCGCGCGTCCTAAACGATCATGCTGGTCACGACTGGCTCAAGCCGTGCGAGAGATGTTCTCTACACCGATGGTGGGCGATGCCACGCCTCAACAACCTCAACAGCCGCAGCAGTCGGCAGCACCTCTTGATGGCTCTCTGTGTGCGTAGACGTTCATACCATCACTTCACAACCCCCATTGAACCGTGGCGCAGGGAGTGGTGGTTATTACTTCGGCCCGGATGGTCGAAGATGGATCTTCGCGTACGACGGGAAGACTATGACACCGGTCTTGTTGCGAGCGGATCCACAGGCGGAAAGAGGTGATTCACCCATGCAATTCCTAGTACACAACAAGCAAGGTACATCAATTCGGTACATGTGAGAGTAGTGGGATGGACGTTATGTATTGTATAGCTCTCCGGTCCTGATCACGTCCCGGAGAGGGATTGATTCGACATGATCTGTGTGAACATTTGTAGCGCGGCCGCCCCTCTCGGTACGCCGGGCAGCCCATATGCAGGTACCAGATGGCCTGCGCCCCAGAGGCGCGCGTACGATAGAGTGCCCGCGTTCTTGTACACGCCAGCGCTGACGGAGTTCACGGTGTAGTTCGCCCACTCCTGTTTGGCGTACTCGGTGGAGAAGCGTGTATGCAAGTTGTCCATCAGAATCTCGACGCCCATATAGTTGCACAGGAAGTCGACATCGCCCGCGTACAGGACGACTCGCACGCCGGCGTCGATGACGCGCTCCAGTCGTGGCTTCGTGCTTCGCATCCAGTCGCCCTTGTCCTGGAAGTTCTTCGCTATGTCCGCGTTCCCCGGCGTGAACGGTAGCTCAGCACCGATCGCTTGCACGACGTCGCTGGACGTCAGCCAGGGAATGAAGTTAGAGGGGTACTCGTCCGCGCGTTCGCGAGGGGTGATGATATAGTTGGGATCCCACTCCCCATGTAGCTTCCAAAGGAGATTGTCGTTGCAGAAGACTGTTGCGTTGCTGCATGCTGCGTCGGTGTCGAGTTCGGCGCATGCGACGAGTCGTTCGCGGCAGCCTCCAGGACCTTCGAATGCGACCTTGCCGGTCTCGATGTCTTCTGGGGATACAAGAGGGTGGTAAGGGTTGCGTTCCGAGTACTCGATGAGTTTAGGATACTGGAGCAAGGCATCCTGTGGGAAAGCCATGAGCCTCGACGCTTCTTATGATAGTTGAGAAACACGGACCGTCAGACCGTTGCCGATGCCCAGATACTTGAGGTTGACTGGATGCCCAGATGCAAGCCCTTGCGACAAGACACCGTTTTGTTCCAGGAAATATCTATGATGAAGCTTAGCGGCGTGCCGCTGGAGGATGGAAGAAACATGAACGCGTACTCAGAGAATGCTGGCCCGTAGTGACCGCCGTAACTAGTGCAGGAGTTCAGTCACAGTGCTACTAACAAGCTAAGGAAGCAGCTTACGACTCTGTCCATATACCGAACTCTCTGTCAAGATACTTGCTGAAGTGATCATCAGAAAACCACGTTTGGAAGAACTGTATACCGACTTAAGGGGATGAGGTGTAGACTGATGTCAAAGGAACTACTCACCTCCCAGATGTCCGCCGCCGCCTCGCGAGCCGAGCTTACGGTCGGAGTCCCCTGCGAGAAGCCGACGCCTTGAGATGGCCAGGTAATCAGCAGAAGAAACAGGTATCGCGCTTTCATATACTAACCAGTGGGGGAGTCAATGAAGATTCTGATTGGACTTTAGTTCCTCGCTCGACGTGAGTCATTCGATGTGCTTCACTCACACATTAGCATATTCAGTCCATGAAGTGGGGTTGAGCTCGACGCCAGAAGAGTCATTGAGCGTCCGGCAGGGTCCCAATTCACTGAAAAGTCCAACCATACTCGTTGCACCCGGCTACTCCGACTCAGCGTGATGGTCAATCAACTCAGGATAATCACACCCACGCCTCCGTTGAACCAAGCAACTAGGGGTTTATTGTCCGGGTCATGACGAGCAGCGAAGAACCAGAACCTGTACATGCAGTTCAATGGGACTGGAGGCGTAGCTCATATGTCAGAATGCCACATACCATATGCTCTTGTCTTCGGCGATATCCGCGTAGCCCGAGGCCTGGTAGACGCCCGGAGTAGTTTCTTGGTAGAGCAGAGTAAGAACCTGATCTGATGTCAAGGCCGAGTAGACGCACCACAAACACCGGAGTTCTCCGTAACCCGTAGGGTACCCGTATTCTTGACAGCTGTTGCAGGGTGGTCTTCCCCGAAAGGTGATGCCTGTACCATTTTCGAGTGCATAGGCGCCATGAAGGCCACTTGCTGCGCCGCCACCGCCGGCATCGCAAGTACGGCGAGAGCCGCGTAGAAGAACATCCCGGGCCTTGGATGGGGGGGTGATGGTGGGTGTATACGCCGACGTTCGCTATCTCGCGCGAGCAGGCGCGCCCTCATGTTCACGCGCGGATGGGGATATCTCCTTCCCAGGAACACCTTTCGACTGTGGCTCAACTTCGAGTGCTTTCCTATGGAAAGCGGGAGGGGAGTTCTCTGAATAGCACTGTGAGCTCTTCACTAGCTTCAAGGTGACATCCAAAGCGCTTGTATGGACTTGGGGCGCATCCCGGTGCCAGGATTCTGGACTCTAGACTTGAGTGCGCGCCAGAATGCGGTGAAGCGTTACCTACGCTCACGTCTAGTAGAGTAATCCGGACGCAGCTCAGCTATAGGGCATGGCGCATGCATAGGGGATAGTACAAGAATGGTTGTATAGATCACCATACAGCAAGTGGTGGTTAAGTTCAAACTGTATAGACTTCGCCGCGAGTCTACGCCAGACGCGGCGCGGCGACTTCTGCCTTCCGTTCCGACCACCATCACCGTCCATGGCGAGGTCATCGAGACCTGATCATGACTTCTGCGGCCACATGGTGGAGAGGAGATATATTATTATGGGCTGTATGATGGAGCCATATTAGCGGTGCGTTCTCATCTGGTTACAATATTGCGATCTAAAGCTGACGACCCTCTCGCAGACTCGTACAATTTATGCAGACTCAGAATGCCTCCTGCTCCACCCGTCGCGCGCCTGTGCGCTACCTCTTCGAAATATAGCAATGCATCATAGCCTTTATCCCCCCTCCAACACCTAGGCCTCCATGAGTCGCATCAGCGACGATTCGGCGTACGCGGGACAAACGCCCGATAGATCTTCGCTGCTCGTCTCGAAGCTTGAGGTAATGTAGGCGATCGCTACTTGAATGGCGAACATGAAGATGGCTCCACATATAGTTTCTCTGCAAGAGAGTGAAGCTTTCATACTTCAGTAGGAAGTCATGCGTTTTAGCATGGAATACCCTCACAGGGTGTTACGCCTGGAAGGGCCTCAGATTGTGTACCATCCTTTCGAGTCCGCTCATGCATACCTTCGGTGGCATCCGTCTGCGCTCGTTCCGGCTTCTCAGGGTCCAGTGGAGCGTCTTGAACAGTGACAGGGATACGTGTTTCTCGATACACGAGCGGCAAGGGTGGCGGCGCCGGGTCGGTAATAAGCTGATTTGGCATATACTGTGCTGGGGCGATCAGTCGGCACATAGGACAGCAGACGCGCCGCGGGAGGGTGGCCAACTGTTTCAAGCAACCGTCACAGAAGATGTGTCCGCAAGGCATGGCACTTGGGCAACGTCTGACGCCGTCAGTGTCGCCATAGTTCTCGAAACAGATATCACAGCACGATCTGTCGTCGACGTAGAAAGGCATTGTTGGGCATACACATAACTCGACCCAACACATTAAATACCGAGCACATCCTTTGTCTTGACGGCCACGCCTTCGCGACGTGGGTGCTCATGATCGGCCCGAATGCCCGAATCGAATAAACAACACGTCTCAATTCGCTTGCAAGTTCGTCCCTTGCCGAAACGTATCGAGTCACTGAACCTCAGCGTTCTACAGATTCAAGGAGAGGCGAACATGTACTAAGTATGTACACTGATGCATATTAGTGTACGATCAAGACGCCTACTCCTGCTTCATCGCTATGCCCGGGTAGAGTCGATTATTCACAATCGACGGTTCATTAACGTTTATTCTCACTAAGCACTGCACATGGACGTTGAACTCAGAACAGCAACTTCGTGATCTATGTCATTAAAGCGAGGTGTGTTGAGCAACACTTGATGGTCTATAACGAACGTGAGCACTCAACAAAGCGTTGAATGTGCCTACTCTATTCCCGCAGGGGTTGAACCCCCTTTCGCAGGTTTTGGGCGCCGAAGCCAGTCTGTACAGCCTCATCCGGAGGCTTGGAGAACCCTGATTGCCTCGGTCGCAGCAATCTGCTTCGCCTCTTTACGCGTAGCCGCAGTGCCTTGTCCTATAGCCGCGCCGCCCACTAAACGACCTTGATGTGAGCAGCGATCCTCGATTGCCAAGCTTCAAAATAGAAGCCCCTCCCACCTTTGGCGATGGCGACATGGACAGGATTATGCCCAGGCCCTGCCTGCTGAAACTCCCACGACAATAGATGCGAGGACTTGCGCTTGTTCAAGATGTCATTCAAAAGGTTGACAGGGTCTGTTGGCCTGATGAGCAGGATGCGGATGACGACTACGCAAAGATGGAAGACCTTGAGAGGACATCGTGCTCGCTGGGTCGTTGCCTTGGATGAGGACGTTGAACGAGAGGTAGACGAAGTCGTGCCTCTCTGTGTGCAGCTTGGCCATACTTTTATAGGTCATTCTTGCGTCCGCGCGGTCCGTAGGTAAAGGTTGACCCACACCCATCTGGTCTGTATGTGTCAGCACAGCTACCATACCCATTGAACGGTGTAGGCTCCCGAGACGCCCCAGCGCTCGAAGAGGTTGCCGCATGCTCTCGAGGGGCGACACGTTTCGATCCACCAGGTTGTTGATGTCCTTGAGAGGCGGGCACAGTACCGGTGAGTTTCTCAGCGTCTAGAAGTCCGTATCGCACGCAGCACAGCTCACAAATCGCAACTAGGTGACCGGAGACCGATCTGTAAGTTCGCAGATCTCCGCGAACGTCTATTCAAGCTCGCCGTTGCACGCTGCGCGAGCTCCATCAGCAAGGAGCTTGTCGTAAAAGTCAGCCACAGGTACGAAGCACATGTGCACGGTCATGCATAAATGGCCGCTACAACTGTTTGATTGGGCCTGTTGGTTCACATACGACTCAAGCGGGGCTCAATGTGAGAGCTGAGCGCCACGCGCACATCGGAGCTCAACTCGCAACACCGCAACGCTAAATCCGCGCTGTGGGCGTGCAGAGGAACGCTTGCCACGCTTGTCCTTGACCAGCTTGCTTGGTATTGGTTCGTAGGGGCGCAGACACCCACGGAGTATTCGGAGCGCCCAATTCTGGCCGTGGGCTGCGCGCACAGTTCGAATACATAAGCTGATGAGGGAGCTGTACAGTTTTCCCTACAGATGAAATGTGATTCTCTCTACCAAAGGGCCATCTTTCAAGTTGCCAAGTCGGGGACAGTCGCCAGCGCACACGGCATCGTATCAGCTTCGTATCCCCCGCCACAAGCCTTGCCACAGAAGTCGAAAACCCCCGTCATGCCCGTCATCCTCACCCAGCCTGCGTCTCAAAGGGGGACTTATGCGCTATATTGAGCGGCGAGTATGAATGATGCTCGGTGCACTGCGGGACCGTCGGCTGGTGCGCAGCCGCACAGCGAGACTGTCTCAAGAAGTTGAAGTTAGGCGTGAAGCCCCCGTCGGTGCGCACAGCGCGCGAGCCCAACAGCTCATCGCCTTCGCGTCCTTTGCGATCGATCCCGGCCCTAGAATGAGGAGTACCGACGCTTTCATCAATTGCCATGCTCTGTATGAAGGGCGTGTGTCCCGGAGAACCGGGAATGGCAAGCCCGCCAGCGGAGAACGGGGTCGGATGGGAGGGAGGTCCTCGACGCGGCGAAGGAGGTGGGGTAAGGCGCTCCGGGCCGTTGACAGACCGTGCCGGCCGCGCCGCGTCGCCAAAGTGCGCCCCACGGATATGTGGCTTGACTCTCGATGTTCCATACTCTGTGTTCTCATAACGGGAACCGTAGTCTTGATTGACAGCGGGCGCTTCATGCCCCTCGTCAGCAGAGTAACGATGGGCGGCGATGGGCCCGCTACTAGCGAGACAATGCGCATCGTCATACGCCGCTTTGTAACGCGTAGAACGGCGTGGAGGTGGCGAAGGAGGGGGTGTTTCAACGCGCGGTCCTCGCGGTGGGCGTACTGTCGGCAGAATATCGCGCGCTCGTACCCCAATGGCTGCTTCGTGAAACGCACCAGGCGGCACAACTGTGGTTGTGGCCGGCTCTACCGACCCTCGCACCTCCGGATAACGCAGAGGTGCTGTAGCACCTGAGTCGAACTGTATAGCCTCAGTAGGCTGCGCTAGCCTGAGGTCGGGTGCAGGGGCATTGACATTGATCGGGGAAGAGCGTGCACAGGCGCAGTTGTTGATGATGATGGGTGCCGGCGGATTGGCAATGGGCCATGGTGTGTAAAAAGGGGCTCGAGCGGCGAGCGGATACGCGGGATGGGTCGCATTGGGGAAGGTATGCATGCTCCAAGTACGTTTCTGCGGCCTTGAGCCATGGGGATACGGGTCGGGCTGATGGGTCCGGTAGTTGTGGTAGTGGTTACGAATGACAGCCTGGCTGCCGTAGTGCTGGTTTACTATGAGCGACATCGTTCACGAGTGGGATGAGGATGTTGAGTTGTGTGCTATAGTGTGATCTCATGAGCCTTTATCGGACCGAGAACAAGACGCGACAAATAGGGAATGAGTCGTGCACCTGCAGAACTAGAACAAGGACATCCACTGCTAAATAATGGCCTGGGAGCATCCATAACATAACCGCCGGAGTTCACAGTCGAACGTATTGCATGTTGAGTTTGGAGAAACCATCAGCTCGCACGACAACAACAATTGCAGGGAAGCATTCCACAGTGACAGCACGATCCGCGCGCCGCAAGTGCTTACAAAAGGACTACCGACGAAGTCGGAGTGAAACATGAGCTCAATGCGTCTGTGTACAGTATAGCAGTGATGAAGGTACGGATTTAACGCGGAAAGAGTACCATGCAGTGCATTTGGAAGATTGTCGATTGCTGCTCAGTCGTCAACTCGACGATCTGAACCTTGAGCTTGGGCTGTTACATCATGACCGTCGACGGGTCCCAGGATCCCCACAGCCCCTGTTTTGTCGATTAATAGACTCCTGATACGGTAGACATACCGGAGCAGATGGCGCGGTGTGAAGAGGGCGATGAAGAGGGTGCCCGCCGCGCGATCCATGCATTTGATACCCGACGCCCAGGAGTATCGCAGAGACGAAACGTGTACAAGCTGGAAGATCAGCCTTCAGCAGATAGGCTAGACCATGACTGTGTTGTCTGGAGGGAATTGCCATCTAAACCCGGAGACGTGTGTGGTTGCCCGTCGGGACTTCACGGCCTCTGGCAGCCTAGGTCGAGAGAAAAAGAGCCAACCGTACACGTAGACCAGCTCGCAGGATGGATGGCCATCGATAGGTATCCGCAGTCTGATTTATTGAATAGATGGTAGACGAGCACCGTACACGTAGATGATTATTGGCCTGGTGGCGGTCGAAGGAAGGCCCTGTGCACAACCTGCCGACGTCGGGTTCGGCGCATTCGTCATATCGGACCGGACAACCGCGCGCTCCGCAAGAGGCTCAGGCCGCGATGAGTTGAACCCCCATCATCCCGTCCAGTCTCCTCGAACCTTATCATCATTCTTCTACCGTATCAGCATGTCTTTTACTTCTGCAGATAGATGGATAGAACAACTCAAGAAATGCGAGCACCTCTCTGAAACGGATATGAAAGCCCTGTGTTCGCGCGTGCGCACGCTTCTCATGGAGGAATCCAATATTCAGCCTGTCTCAAGTCCAGTCACAATATGCGGAGATATTCATGGGCAATTCTGGGATCTTCTTGAGCTACTACGAAAAGGCGGGCCGGTACCAGACACCAGCTATATTTTTATGGCATGTAGGTGTTACCTCGGGTGCTCGGCAGCGTGCGAGCTGACGCAACAGTAGGGCGATTTTGTGGATCGGGGCCATTATAGTCTTGAGACTGTATCTCTATTACTCGCCCTCAAGGCAAGGTGCGTGCAGACTGGTGAGGGGATTACGAGGGACGCTGACGTCCCTGACAGGTACCCTGAGAATGTGACACTATTACGGGGCAATCACGAAAGCCGGCAGATCACGCAGGTGTACGGCTTTTACGGTACGCGACTTCAATCTTCTGTCGCGTCTTCCCGTACTGAGCGCCTATATCTCAGATGAATGTCAGCAAAAGTACGGTAGCGCAGCAGTGTGGAAGGCGTGCTGTTCGGTTTTTGATTATCTGAACTTGGCTGCCGTGGGTTCACTCACAAGTCGTCTTGGACAATGGCTCATGCTATGCGTAGATAATTGATGGTGAAGTGCTCTGCGTACACGGTGGGCTATCGCCGGACATCAGGACTCTGGATCAAATACGCGTTCTGTCTCGTGCGCAGGAAATCCCTCATGAAGGAGCTTTCTGTGGTAAGTCTGGCACAGTGTTCTAGTCCATCAATCATACTCATAGGGTTGGTAGACCTAATGTGGTCTGATCCCGACGAGGTGGAGAATTGGGCTGTGAGCCCTCGTGGCGCGGGATGGCTGTTCGGAGGCAACGTTACGCGAGAGGTACGTCTCACCGGCTTTTATCACGATTCGTATCTATGGCTTATCTCTTGCAGTTCAACCACAGAAACTCGCTCAAGCTCATCGCCCGCGCCCATCAATTGGTGCAAGAGGGCTTCAAGTACATGTTTAATGACGAACTCGCCACGGTCTGGTCCGCGCCGAATTACTGTTACCGATGTGGCAACATGGCGTCAATATTGACCATCCGCGAGAATGGCGAGCGGGACTTCACGGTATATGGACCTGCGGAGGAGAACGAACGCGATGCGGGCATGCAGACGAGGAGGATGGTGCGTACCCCTGCAGTATTCTTAATCAGCAGCGCTGAACACCTTGATAGGGCAACATGCCGTATTTCGTCTAAAGCACTCCGAGCAGCACAGAACTGCTGCTCTGTACGATAGACGCACGTGATAATATACCCTTCCTTGTACTGGTTGTGTCAAAGAGATGACGCACGCGAGACGAACTCGTGTAGCATAAGCAGAGCGCCCTCCACCTACCAGAGGTCACGGCACGTTCTTCAAGGCGAAGTTATACACAGTCACGCTTTCTTCATACCCCAACTGCATCTAGTACCCCAGAGAACCCATCTCAACGAGACACTCGAACGCGACACGCGCGATTGACCTGTGACGCACTGCTGGCAGGTTGCTTGGGCAGTAACCTACCTCCTGCAGCACACCAACCCTCTCGAGAGCGACCACGTAACTGCGGAAGGGAGCTGCTTTGTTTGGAGTCCGAGCCTGCAGGCGCTCGCCGTTTGGGGCAACTCGAGTTCCACGCACGTAACCCCCGAGCGTGAGCTCGGGCAACGCACTCGCATCGCTGACAGTGAAGAGGCCGAGGCCAAGCGCTAATGGTGTCGCTTTAAAGGCTGGTGCATCGAATGGACGACAAGGCAGCAGCAGCTCGCTCTCGCTCTGGTAGCGCAGCCATAATGTTCCTCGACTACCAGTTCATCTTCATCAACCCGCCATCTTCCACTAATGACCTTGTCACCGAGTGGAAATGCGCGATCAGCAATATCCTCCCTCAGGAGTTGCACAAAAACTTCTCAGTCCTCGAGGGCAAGCTGTGTTCGCTACCAGTCGAGCAGCTGGCGTGTGACTGCATCGTTTCACCTGCAAACTCGTTTGGCATCATGGATGGCGGGTACGTTAGTCTGCCTTCCTCTTCACCTGAAACCATGCTGAGATCCTGACCCGCAGTTACGATATGGCGCTCTCTCGATATTTCAGCGCAGATGGCGGTGACGACATCTACGCTTTGACACGCACAGCCCAAAAGGCTATTCAAGCTCGCTGGCGCGGGTATGCACCGCCGGGAACTGCCACTGTAACGGCGCTCCCGTCGGGCATTCACAACCCAGTTGGCGCCACCACGCTCGCGATCGTGCCCACCATGTGCCGTCCCGAGGATGTGAGGTGGCATCGCGATCTCGTATACAACGCGATGTGGGCGCTGTTGTGCGATCTCGAACGCTGGAACGCAGAGAACCCGGCGAAGCCTATTCGGCGCGTATTGATGCCAGGTTTGGCTACCGGGACGGGAGGCGTTAGAGCGGAGGTGGCTGCGAGGCAGATGGTCATGGCTATCAAGCACTTTGCGCGAGGTATCCCTCAGCAAACGAAGTGGTCGTTTGCGTGCAAGCTGACCCGGGAGATCGGTCGTTGTCAGGATTGTTAGAACTTTTGTATCTAGACGCCGCTGTACTGTATACCCATTTATTCTCAACATCGTCTTTGCCGTATCCTTGTGAGCCAGTATACCACACGCCAATGCTGTTATGTAACCCATGGTCCACCAAATATACACTCTCCAAGGTCCCCAAGGTCAATACACCGCATGCTTGAACGTTTTCGTCAGTGCTCCGGGTGAATCAGTGCTCCGGGTGAAGAGGGCGGACCGTAGCGGCCCGGGTATCTCCACGCGTCAACCGCGGCGGCGCGGCGTCTTCAGTCCTTGCTCGTCGACGTCCATGAGCTCCGCCATCCAGTTTGCTCTACCTCCATGACAAGATAAAAGCTGTCAGGCCTCAGGCCTCTTCTCTATATCCTTGCATGCTCTCTCTCGTAAACCTGGTCCCGAGCTTTCTAAACCCCGCCGCCCGATACGCGTTACTTCCTGGTACCCCAAGACAGCCCAAGACGCGCGTTCTCCGCGCTGTTGTCAGGATCATGCTAGCGGCGAAGGCGCTGCCCCAGAATATCTCGATCATGGCCCTCTCGACACATACAGCAGACCACATGCTCGCTTCCGCTCACATTGCAGATAGTTATCGCCCATGGTGCTCAGTTGTCGAGCTTTTCACTCACACAAGACCATGTCTCTCTATGAACGGATCATAAGCATACAGTCGATAACAAATTTTGGCACTGACACTCCAGAAGCAGGTTGTGTACTCGAGAATGCGCTCCCTCTGGGGCCTATCGCTCACTACGTGCACCTTGATACATATGAGACGACATCACAGAGTTGTCGTTCAATTGAGAAAGCGCCTGAACCTTGTTCTACCCCCCCCCCC